TTTTTTTTTTTTTTGCACGAAAAGAGTGACATGGAGAGGTATTATTAAGTCCATGTGAGTAGACATCAGATGTTCCTATTAAGATAACGTGTCATGTTAGTAAAAATTAATGAAGGGACCAAAAAAGGAGCGGATTTTAAATTTTAAGAACCAAAAAAGAGATTTTTTAGTATAGAGACAAAAAATTGACTTTTTTCAATAGTAGAGAGACCAAAAAAGATATTTAACTCTTTTTAATATTATCGGACAGTGATATGAGAAATCTCTGTTTAGGCCTTTTTGCACTAAATCAAGAAAATTGACTAAAAATTCAACAGATACTAGGAATTTGTCCAGCTGGCGCATGGCTGACCCATTCGACTTATACCATGTAAATTGTCTCCCCATTAACGGCAACTCTTCTAAGCCTGCATCTAGGATGAATTCGTTAAACTCCTTTATTTCAGCCAAGTCATAACACTTGCCCTTTTTTTCTTCAAAGCCACGGATAGCATTGAAGTCACCCCTTATACACCAATTTCCCCCACCATATTCATTTAGCAGTTGTAGCAGTTCACTCTACAAAATTCTTTTCCCCCTTTTGTCACATGGAGAATATACATTTATAAAGAAGCAAGGAATTTTTGTTACCCCCCAAAAACCAAACACACCACAGAACTTCCGATTATCTGATTAGCTAATGCAAAAGAATTTGAATTCCAAATGCATATCATACCTCCTGCCAGCCCTTGCGCTTCTTTCATCATCCAAGCAAAGCCATCTTTTCCCCAAATAGACTTACAAATCTTCTCATCACAGTAATCCAATTTTGTTTCTTGAATAAAAACCATGTCCACAGCTTCTTTCCTGATCAGATCTTTCAATCCTCTCTTTTTATCCCCCTACCAAGCCCCCTCACATTTATTGAAAGGATCTTCATTGTTTACTAACTATATCTCCCTTTGTTAATGCAGCTACTAGCTTTTGCTTTTCCAATGCAACTTTGTCTCTTTTCTCCATTTCTCCTAATCTTCTCACAATCTCCTCGGCGTTGTTATTATCAACAAGACCCAGTTGTTTGCCCACCGCCCAGAGTTCCTCTACTTCCACTCTCCAGTTCCTAGCTCTTTCCCTTTTATCTCCAATATTCCCATCAAAAGTTTCAACTCCCCCCAATTTCACACTAGTATTCCCATGTGTCCTACTTGCCTTTCTCTTTACTCCCACTACTCGCCTGGTTCTTTCTTCTTTAGCTTTCCTCCTCCTTTGCCGAGCTAATCTTTCTGCCCTTGATTGCAATATTTCATTGTCACTAGCCAGGCCGTCCCAAAATGGCTGAGTATTGCATTCTTGCTTCGCCAGATCTTAGGTAGAATTTCCTGGCTTTGTTACCACCTCCCTTCGTGATGTGACCTCTATCCCCATTCTGAACCTCATCATCTTGCCATCTGAACTCTGATCTTTGCAAAGCAAATCTAGACGATCACAGTCCTTTTGAGTTTATGCTTTGGCCCATTCCTTCTTGCGATCTTTGATGCATATGTCCCAGCTATTTTTACAATTAAGGCCCATGAGATTAATAGGCTCTAAACATGGGCCCAAATGCATTCTTTCCACCTTTATTAGGTCATCCTCCTCAAATTGGTCCACTTGTACTGCATTTTTAGAGCCAGACTGTTTTCCACATGGGCAACCATCACTCCCGAGTTTGACAAAAACTAAATCACCTGTAGATTTCAAAGCATTCTAGTGGGCATTATCCTCAATTCCTTCACCCATGGCCTCCAAAGCTTGTTGCCTATAAAAGCCCACTACTATCCTTTAGAGGTCAAATTATCTTAATTAATTTGATATTTTCTGCACTTCTTATTGTTTATGTCTTTATTTAAAATTTCAAAATGTGTTCTTGTTGAGATGATTAAGATCCAAAGGAATTTTTTTTTGGGGTGGGGCAAATTTAGAGAGGAAAATAGCATGGGTGAGTTGGGACTATACTTGTGTGGATAAGGAGAGAAATGGATTGGGGGTGGCTGATTTAGAGAGGAGGAATTGGGCCTTATTGGGCAAATGGTTGTTTAGATTAGGGGATGGGATTGAGGGTTTATGGAAGAGAGTGATTTGGAACAAGTATTATGGGCATAGAAAAGTGGTTGATATTACTTCATTTGGCTCTTGGAATCTGTCTCAAGTGTGTAAGGATATTGTGTGTGTGGGTAATAGGTCGAAAGGGTTGTTATCTATGTTACTAGAAGGTTTCAAATGGGAAATTAGGGATGGAAGTTGAGTGGATTTTTGGGGTGATAAGTGGGTGGGAGATAAGTCTTTAAAAAATTTATTTCCAAGGTTGTTTGCCTTAACAATGGTTAAGGAGGGGTTGGTGAAGGATATGGGGTTTTGGAGTGGAGATAATTAGGTGTGGGAATGTAGGTGGAGGCGAGTATGTGTAGGGAGGGCTAGTGGTGAGGAAGGACAGCTTAGGGAGATGATTAACGAGATTAAGGTGAGGAATGACAAAGTTGATTCTTGGAGATGGGTTCATAGTAGTGATGGTGTTTATTCTGTGAAGGTTGCTTATGCCTTTTTAACACCAAAGGATTGTATTCTTGATAAGAAATGGTGCAAGATTAATTGGTGTAAGTATGTTCTCTCTAAATTAATGCTTTTTGGATGGAGAATATTTTTGAACATGTTGTCAACTAAGGTGAATTTAGGTAAGATAAGGGTGTTTTTGTAGGGTGGGGATGTCAATTGTGGAGTGTGTAAGGAGGATGTGGAGCAGATTCATCATATTTTTTGTGAATGTAAAGGGATGTGGTTAGTGTGGATGAAGATTTTGGGGTGATGGGGTTTACGGGGTGTATTGCCTAATGATATATTTGGTTTGGCAGAAGCTATAGTACAGGGCATTGGAAGGGGAAGAATGAAGGATTTGGGAGCGTTTATTTTCTTGATTGTGGCTTGGGTTATTTGGTGTTGGAGGAATATGAAGGTCTTTAGAACAGATTTGTTATACAAGAATTGCTTGTTGGAGTCTATTCAGTTTCAATCTTTTTGTTGGCTCAAAAATAAAGAGGCCTATTTTGTATTTTCTTATCAAGATTGGATTTCAAGGCCTATGAATTGTAGGGAAGCCATTGTGCAATATCTTAAATATTTGAAAGGTTATAAGGTGCTGAAAGAGGCATAGAATGTTTTGTTTCCCTTTGGTTTTCTAGTCGATTTTAAGCAATATTGTATTAATTGATGTAGGAAAAGTTTGATGTGAAACTTTAATTTATTGGTTTGTATTTCCTTTGGGAGTATCTCTTATACTCATTTATAATATATTTCTCATTTTACTTTGCTGATAAAAATATATATATATATATATATATATTTCATTATGAGTATCGAACTATCGATTATTATTTTTAATGCTTTTTAATACTTATTTACTATTAAAATTGGCATAAAGAGTATAATTGAAACTAGGAAGAGATTTTGTACAATAACTTTTGTTAATAATAATATATATCATGAATTGAACAAAAATCAATATGGACCAACATAATTTTTGCAGTATTAGTGATAAATAAAATTTATTTTTTAAGTAAATTAGGGAATTTCACATAACATAATATATCTTTATCTATTTAAATTTATATAAAATATAGTGAATTAATAAATGAAGATAAGTTTAGTATAGTTTGAAAATATATATCAAATAAAATAAAAAATTTTACTGTCATATGAGTACTAAATATCTTTAAAGCATAGTAATAATCTAAAATATATATTGATTAATTATAATAAAATTAGCTGTTTTAATACCTTTTATCTTGATAATTTTATTTTAAATTATTATTTTCTTTTAATTAATTTTAGTCAAAAGTTTTTAATAGCACCTAGACCACGACCCTTAGAAACCTGCGAAGTATCAAAGAAGCTAAATAGATTGCACTCTCCCATGTGGCTCAAGTGGTCATGCTTCTGCGTGTAAGAAGTAAGGTGGAGCGCAACCCATGATCTTCAAGTTGATTCCTTAATTGGTACTCAAACAGATACTAACTTATTAATCATGTTTCTTACAATAAAAAAAAAAATTCATGATCATTTCAAAAGAGAAAAATACCTATTATTTAAAACATTAAAAGCAATCATTTTCATTCACAGTTCAATGAAGCCTCATTTACAAGGAAGTGATTATTATTATCCGTAATTTTATTAAAGTCACATAATTTTATAGATATTTTGTTGATTTAATTATTGAAAATAAATGATTTTTTTG